CCCCCCCCCCCCCCACACACACACACACACAAAAAACAAAAAAAACCTCTATGTATTTAGGTGATTAGGAGAGTTAGAGGAATGTGATATATTCTTCTTTGTTTAGGATTCTTTTACACACTTTTTGATCCCCAATAGCTCAAGGGAATAATCAAGTTGTGCATTATACAAGCTCCTCATCTTCTCTCTACAGGAGGAACAGCAGAATGGTTTGGTTTTTCACTTGGTATCAGACACCAGAAACATCCATGAAGTAGATGATGTCATCAGAGAAACCAACAGACATGACAAAAGAAGCATATACCATGAAAAATAAAACTGGGAAACCTACAGTTAGAAAGGGAGGAATCCTAATCCTCCCTTTGTGAACACACAGAGACATCCTTTCAGAGAGGTACATGTAATACACATGTAGATATCGAAAATAGTAAATTTATAACAAGACAATTTTTCCATTAATCACCAGAAGCAATAGGAGATGGAGGTTTCATAAGATCCTTTAGTTGTTTATTTTTTATAAGTAATGCTATTGTAACACAATCCTTATATATAAACTCCCACAAATTTCACATATATGTGTTTGCTAGAGATGAGACATGCACAGAAACAGATGATAAAGACATGGGATAAGACGCTATCCCTTACGGACAGATATTGTTTTTGGTTTTCCTTTGGCCGGGGACCAGGATTGCGGAAGGGGGTTCCACGTGTGCTTGATCACAGGTCACGCAAAAAATCACTTCAAAAAGGAAATACTGAATGATTCAAGAAATGTTGATCAATAAAACACAAGCAGCAAATCACTATAGTACCTTAATTGCAAAGAGATCCCCAGTTGTTCTCTTTTTCGCCAAGAAAACCCGACCAAATGCCCCGCGACTAATTGGTTTGATAATCTCAAAGTCATCAATAGACGTACGATCTTTAGAATGAATTGGGCTGGTTCTCAAGCTACGTACAACATCATCTTCCAAGGGAGCATCTTCATCAATAACAGTGCTCGTTAGATCAACTTTGTCATCATCGACCAGCTCACATAGTTGCAAATACTTCTCCCTGGATAGTTGTGAACTCAAGATAAAGACAAACTTCTTCAAAGATGGAGTAGAAGGAAAAAAGAAGAAGAAAAAGGATGGCAAGATTCCTTTGTTTTCTCTCCGAGGCCCCTCTCCATTTAATGGTTCTTACTATTTATCATTTTCTTTTGAGAGTACAAGTAGTATATGGATAAAACACAAGAAAGGTCAAATTACCGAATCAGCTTTTCAATGCGAGTTCCAAATGTTTCCACAGTAAGCGCATCCAACTTTCTGCGCTCAGTCACAACTTTTAAATCTTCAAGGCAAGAAAGCAAATAAGGCAAAGAGCGATCATCATCTATAGGCGTATTTGCCACACATCGAGCAATATCGGCAAGTTCATTCATCTGCAAAATTAGAAAAGTAACATGAAGCTGTCAATAAAATCCTCCAGGCGAATAAACAAAAGAGAAGAAGAAAGACGCATTGTAAAAGAAGTCGATACCAGTTATGCTGCACCTATTGAAGTCAACAGTTAGGCAATTTATCACCCGTAGAATTAAAACCATCGACGACAATAATTAAATGTAAATGATGTATGCTGAAGTTGTATATTCACAATGTGAAACAGAAAGCCACCAGAGAACACTAACCTTTTCACCTTTTGGAAATTCACCCATAAAACAGATTTTTTTGGTATTAACCTCTTTAAATTTAAACCATTGTACGAAATCCTCTATCGTTAGCTTTTAAAAAAAGTGGGGAGCTCCGTGAGCAAAATGGGCATCGGAAAGGGGAGGAAGAGAATAGCCAGGTGAAGGAAAAGCACAACGTCAGAGATAATTGCTTTGTATCTCCGTCTCCATTGCTCGGACAGTGAAAATTCGTGTATGGAGAAGGAATGAACTAGCATTTCTTTTGACTTATGCACCTTAGCAGAGTAGGAAAATGAAAGCATTTTTTATCCCCAAACCAGAATACATTTCTTTTGATATTTATTTGGGCACAAATATCCAATCCGCCAGAATCTCAGTCAATGAGGTAATACTATAAATTATCAGATATTCTTATTAGTATTCGCGCTGCTAGCATGTAGAGTCTCCTATAACTGACCAACCGGTGAAAGGATGATCGAACCCATCAAAAGCCGGCAGCAAGCCCAGCACGATTAAGCAGACTGCTAACTTGTTCATTTTAATTGTTGTTTTTTTCTCTATTCTTGTTTCTTTTTCCCCTTTCATCTTCCTTTTATGCTCTCATCCAGAGCAGCATGGGAAGGAGTGTGTGTTTTAGCCCAGAACTGTTAGCCAAAGTGCTTTTTTGTTCGTGTTTCTCTCTTTATTTTATTTTCTATTTTACTTTCTTTTTCTCCCTTTCATCTCTCTCTATTGTAAAGATCCATATAGGTGATATCTACTGGTTGGGTATAGGTTTAGACGTGTTATAGAAACTTTTATTATTATTATTACTATTATATATAAAACTTCCTTTTCACTTTCGCTCTGATTTTATTTTGGTATGATGATAATAGGAATTGAGCTTAAAGAAAGAAGTGAGGGTTCATATAGCCGACCCTAACTTGTTTGGGACTGAGGCGTAGTTGTTGTTGCATTTCTCTCTATTGTCTCATCCAGCGAAGCACGGGAGGGCAAGAATAAGAATATGACTAATGTTTGAGGGGATAGGAGGTGGAGGAAAAGGAGAAGAAGAAAAACTAGCAGCAGCAAAATCATTTCGGGCCAAGGTTTTGATGCGCGAGAGGAAAAGAAAAAAGGGGGAAAAAGGATTTGACAACTCCGTTAATGGACCTAACAGAAAAGCTGCAACTTCTAGAAACGTCAATGGAGAGGATGCCACCAAAAACAGTTTCATGCAAAAATTGCCAAAATGATGAACAATTTCGTGGCCGCTGGATCAATTTACATTATAACCTATAAGGATATCAACTTTCCACAAGAAGCACCACGACTGCATCAAGAGAAGAGCACAAAATTGAAATTTTCAGGCTAGATAACAATTTCTAAGACAGGACCAGAGAAAATACATGCAAGTGCATGCAGACTCTGCTGGCAGCAATAGAATTCTTATAGTCGTATCGCCGACAACTAAGCAGCAAACATACTGAAGAATCATAGTAGTGTCTACCTGAGGANATATACTGATCAACATTTGAAAAAGTATGCTGATCATTTACAAACTTCAAGAACCTTGCAAAACGGTTGAATTACCTCCAAGTTGTTTAATCCTCGAGGTTTCCAGAATGGAAAAGGCCGTACACCTTTGGAATTTAGTTCATGCGAAAAACTTTTTATATCTGCAGGAAACCTTTTCCTAGGAGCACTAGTTACCCGGAGTAAAGCTTGAAAGCGTGGTGATTCAGACTCCTTTGGGTTGTCACATTCATAAGATGCCTAGAAAGTACATATTACATTAGAATAAGAATAACACAATAGCAAAAAAAGAATCAATTAATGCAACAGGTTAGTCCTCTTTACCTTCAATTCTGGAGTAACATCTGAGCTCCTCAGACCTCCAGAATAGCCCCAAGATGAACTGAACTGGCCTGCATAAGGATCAAAACATAAGAAACTAGAGCATAACTTTAACCTCAAGCAACTACGTGAACTTCCTATCCCAGAACATATTACTAATTCAGTGACTTTTCAGCGGTCATATGAATAGCTTTCTTTTTTAAGTCGAACAAAAGAAAAGGAAGAACACTTGTTGGCCAGATTACAACACAAAACGTTGCATGTAGTAAGAACAAAGCCATTCATACAATTCCTAGACTGCTTACTGCAATGGAGGAGACCTAGCTCTTACTGGACTTCAGTTGTTAAAATGCCTAATGATCAATTTATATCTCTGTCCATATATGCACCTAACGTCTAATCCTTAGTCGGATAGAGGTAATAAACATTCAAGCAGCCAAGAAAGGGAGCCCAGAGGCATACGGTACAACTGGTTAAAGTAGTGAAGAAGAACTACTTCCATGATACTGTATGGACCAGAAACATGGGATTACCAGACTTGTCAAGCAAACAAAACAAAAGAAAGAAAGAAAGAAACAAACAAACAAACATCGGAAACCAGCCATGTTTATCCTTTATCGGACTAATGCCAATTTCCTATCAGACTCGCAAACTAGTGCATTTTTATCTGAAACTATAGGAAACAAATGTAACTTTGCCTCTGACTTTTACGAACTTTATAAATAAAGCCTGCTAATAGGATTCGGTCTGCCGCAAGGCGAAAGGATAGTCCTTGGGAGCCTAAGAGATTCCTTTTTTAGTAGTCGATGGAGCCTACTTAAGACAATAAAATCATAGCAGAATCTTTTAGCATTGCTTAATCATGAAAATGGAAAAATCCAATACTTCCAGCTTCTTTAGGAATCACAGAAGACTAGGAAAAACACCAAATATGGATGAACATGCTTGTGGATGATAATTTAAAGAGGCTAAAAGGGAAATTTATCTAGTATCACTGCTCGGCCAAAGTTTCACTACTAACTATGTCATACATCTTTGATTGTGTTATCCTTTTATGGGGCCAATTGAGATCTCCAGGGCTAACTGTTCTGTTTCCTTATTTTTATATGCATATTTTTTAAATAAACATTATTACGCTAAATTTCTAGAACTATCAGTACAGGTGCATTTGGTTCTTTATTTCCTTTTTTCTAGAAAACTTGGAAAAAAGTGCCAAAATAGAAGCCAAAAGAATTTCATATGCATCAGTCTTTAACTCTGCCGTACAGTTTTGTAGGTGTTGATCATTATATGGTGGCACAGGGGTGGTGCACCATGTTATTAGCCAATTAGAATGTCAAGGATGTGGGCAGGACAGCTATGTCAACCGCACAGTTTGGGTGAATATCAGCAACGAGACACGCATGGGAGAGCCCAGTGCTGCACATGAAAGTGACAGCATAGGGCAAGGTGGCACGCATGGGCATGTAGCACCTCGACCAAGTACCAACAAGGGCAGAGCAGCCTGAGCGATAAACCATGACATGGCTTTGATGGTGCACAGCAAACCAACCCATCCACTTCATCTTAGACACTTATTGTAATAGCTTAGGACAATGAGGATCATCCCTGGAGGAATAGATCTTGCCATACCCCATTCTTAATTTTTCTTTGTGAACCAGAAAGAAACAGGGCCAACTAAGAAACCTGTTATGTTTTCTAGTAGAAATCAAAAGTATCAATGCTTTTGTATTAGCAGCCCTCAAAAGTTAGGTTGTAGTATCAGACTTAATTATCAACAAATTCTTAATTCCTCCATATTTTGCCTTCAACATCTAAGCCACTAAGAAAAGTTGCAAGATGAGAAACACTGCAACCGCCATCTGCTCCCTGTCCCTGAAGAAAACCCACCCAAAAGAAAAACCGCTGGCCCTCCGCCTGTCACTATCATCTAACATATCAACGGATTCACAGAAAGCACTTCAACAGAACTGTGACCGAGGACAATGTGGAATTCTATACTGTTAGATAGTTATGTGTAAATAGTCTTAGTCCCATATATAGTAGGAATAGAATATGTCCTAGTCCATATGTAGTAGGAGTAGAATATGTCCTAGACCCATATGTAGTAGGAGTAGAATATGTATTATATATAAGGCTCATAGCATCATTGTTAATAGATAGATTTTTCTCCCATACATTCTCACATGGTATCGGAGCTTCAGTGAGAAAATTATCGTTGTGCGTCATTCCAGCGACATCCGGGAAGAAAGATCTCATCGCCGTGCAATTTTCCGGCAACTTCGTCTTATTCCTAGGGTTCATCACTGCTACAGTGGTATTGTGCATATACCAGTACCACCATCAGATCCGAAACCCTTGTGCGACCAAACCCTAAAAAGTTTAGTCCCATCGGAATAGAAAAGTCAGTCACCGTGCGTCTTTCCGGTTGACGACTCAAGATTGATTTGCGTTATCTCCTCATCGGTAAGTATTGTAGGAAAACCAACACTACCATCTTGTTCGGAAAAGTCAGGCGACAAACCCCAGTCAATCGCTCCAGCAGAAAGTCCCTCACGCGCCTCCACGCGCTGCCAAAACTAGGGTTCCGACGAGCTACAGTAATTTTTCCGCCAGAACTAGTAGGAATAGAATATTTCCTAGTCTCATATGTAGTAGGAGTAGAATATGTCCTAGTCTCATATGTATTATGTATAGGGCTCATAGTATCATTGTTAATAGATAGATTTTTCTCGTGCGTCCACACATATACCAAAACCATTTTTTCCCCGCAAACCAAAATGTTCCATCTTTCTTCCATTTGACTCCAATTGAACATTTACTCATTTGGAAGATAGCAGCACAACCCTCTGCATAACTAGATATTTCATTCAACTAGATATTTCATTCAAAAGTAAAACCTTCTGAGAATTACATTAAGCCTTAGCTTCTACCTCCTAGTCAAATAGTGTATAGTTCAATTTGACTAGAAACTTACTATTCTAACAATCAAGATCACCATGAAAACCCATGTACTGCATGATTCAGTTTCCTAACCTAGTAAATCACACCGTCAAAGGCATCCATCTTAGAGTTCGAGTGTTGGATCACCGCATGCCAAGAATCAACTGATTTGGAACTAAGATCCTTGTATGTTCAAATACACAAGTTGAAAGTTGTATCAGAGTTTCTAGTTACATCAGCATTTGCTACTTTTCTACTTCCCTTGTGTTATAATAGGATTAGCCTTTCAAACACAACAACAAGTATTCACATTTTAAGCCAGTGGATGTGAAGTACCACACCATTCACCAACCTTTACGTGCTTTGTATAGATATATACATATGTATGTGTAATTCATTGTAATTCATGTAGCTTTTGTAATAGCAAAGACAAGGACTTTACCTGCTTCAGAAGATGATTCACCATTCTGCAGCCTTGATGGGCCAGGTACACGTGGACTTTGCTCCCTGGAATGACCACTCTCAGAGGACATACTATCTGAATTTCTCACATTATCCGCGGAACCCATCACTGACTTCTTCTCAACACTCTTCTTACCCGAGATAGAACTCGACGGGCCCGCTACATTCTTTGACAGATTGCTAGCACCCAGTGAATTCCCCTTATCTCTACTAGCATACCCAAAAAAGCTCTCCTGTGGCAACGGCCCAGATCGAGTCTTTATCTTATTTAATCCCAACGATGATGCCACAATCGGCGACACTGATACAGACGTAGGCCCCACTTCCTTAGCCGGATTCTTAGTGGAAGTCGGACTCGGGCTCGGACTTTCTTTACCTTTAACATCTTTTTTCTTAGTAGCAAATGTTGAAATGGAAGATGGGGTAATAGGAGAGTTAGAAGTAGAAGTAGAAGTGGACTTAGACTTCTTCTTGTCGGATCGGATCGGGGAATTGGACCCAAGGGATCGTGGACTGTTGTTGGAGGATCCATCTGGGCTTGATGGGTCGGATTTCTTAGATGAGAAAAATCGACCTTTGAATACCATAGCTAGGGTTTAGTGATTACTGATTAATCGATTACTTATTATTTCTTGTTGAAGTGAATTACAGCCCCAGCTGTAGAAGCATGAGGGGCTGTGAAGTTGGACTAGAACATGAGAATGGAGATTTGACTATTCTGATGCACAAGAGTTTGGACTGAGGGAAGACTCTGTAGTTTCGAGTTTACTACTGTTTCTCTGCAGAATCGGAAATGGTGACGGTGACTTTTGGAGACAGATTGAGAAAGTAGTGGGGGCTGAAATGGAACAACCAGGAAAAGAAAAGACTTGACTGTCTTCCATTTCTTTATTTATATGAAGTTTTCGAGTTTCAAATCTCAAATTACCCCTGCAACAAATATATATATTAACAAAAATTAAAAGATGAAAAACAAAATACACGTCCATCTTTCTCTTTTTTCAAATAAACTCTAAACCATTTAGATTTTCGTTAAAAAAGCTAAATTTAAGTATAAAGCACTTTTTATCGAGATGAAAAATGTATAGGAGTATTTATTATGCTATCATAATCTTTGATACTTAAAAGATTAAATCAATACTTTTACAATCAAATTAGAGAAAATAGACATATCCTTAATCTTTTTACATAATATATCCTCAATCTTTTAAATGTTCTTTTGATTAATACAAATAAGAAAAATTAATGGTAATAGATTCAAAAGGGTTAATGCATCTACCGGCGTGGTTCCGGAAATAATTTATTAATTTTTTAATAAATATTTTAAGGTTACATAAGAAAATATTATGAAACACATTATAATAATTAATGGCATGTAATATAGTTGATGTTTTGCAGTAAAACAAATCTTTTTCCCTCCCTAAAATGACAAAGAGCAACTAAGAAAGTTTGTGGACCAAAAATAAAATAATTAGAAAAATTTAAATATGTATTTGGTTGCCCCACGTAAAGGTATAGTAAAAACTTGTAGCTTTTCCTTTAATGGCTTTGCTTTCTCCACTTTTTCATCACATTCGCCAACAACTTTACAATAGCTTTGACCTAGTGTAGTATTTAGGTCCAAAACCTCACAATTAGGCGAACAAGCAGATTTAACTAGTATTGAATTAAATTCGAGTCAAAATAATTTATTGGAGTCTTTGTTAGATTATTGTTTAATAATTTCACAAGGAATTCACTTGTCAAACATCAATAGCGTGTATATATTCAAAATATTGTAATAGAACACAGCTGTATAGATTTCCTGGTGAATTTACGGGACTTATGGAGATTAAGCGGACACAAATATCAAATTATAATTTGAGTTATTGGAATTACTTTAAAATTTTAAACTTCCAGATAACATGTTTCTTTTTATTTATATTTTTATTTTATATCTGTAACAATCCAACTCCTTTGATTTAGTACTTGTATTTTATTTTGTGGTCAATATTAAATAATACTAAACATATCACGTGATATGTCTTGTTTGAGCATGTTATTTAACAAAATTCTTACTACCACTTTATGTTTCACCGCAAATTTGAATAAGTCTTATCCTTCTACATTTTCACCCAAAACAACTCTTTCTTTAATCTTTGTTTCTAGTTATTGCATTATCTATTACTTAATAATGTTATATTCATGTAATTTTTTATTAGCTTACCAATTGACTTGATATCTTGCTTATTTCCCTTTTGATAAACATATATAAATATAAATTTTTTAATTCCTAAAAGCTAATTTATTTTTGTACTTTTATCCTCTTAATTACTTGGAACTTTTTTTTCATTTAAATCTTTCAATAATATTTTTGAATATTATTTAATTATTTAATTTCCTTATACTTAATTAATTCAAAGTATAAATATTCTCATACTATCTCTATTTTCCTCTTTATACATCCTCTTCCCTAATATGAATTTTTATTTAGTTTTTTACATTAATATTTTACCAATAAATAAAATATATAATATCACATTTTATTTTAAGTTATAACTTTGAATTAGTTTAAAATATTAATAGATAAGTTTTTTCTTATTATATTTTAAATCTATTAAATTTTCTTATAATTATTTTTTGTATCACGTGTAATTAAATTTTCTTTCTCTTTTAACGTTAGGATACAAATTAGACATTAATTTTCGTTCATAAAATTACCCACATGAGAATTTTATTTTGTATTTCCTTAGTTTTAATTTGTTATCCAATTTTTAGTTTTTTATCTAGTAAAATTTTAATTTTGTAGTCCTATCCAAAGTTTGAGCGTTTTCACCATAATTTTAATCTAAATCTCAAGTTCAAATCATCTTTCTCTTCTATTTCTAATATTAAATATTTTTAAATTTTTGATTATTGCTATTAAGTTACCTAATATGTAGTATTTTATTTTCGTATGTGGCTTTCATTAATATTCCTCTTTATTTAATATCATAATCTATTTAATCCTTTAATATTATTATATAAATCGATGTATGATTTTTTAATATTGAAAAAATTATTTTTTTATTTAAAATTAATACTCAAAATTATTAAATAGGTTAAATTCATTAATAATATTTTAAGCATTATATATTTACTTTATTTTTTAAAACTAATTCTTAGTATAAATAACATCGTATTATCTCTAATTTATTAATATTTTTTATATTTTTAAATTTTTTTTAATCTATTAAACTTCAGTTATGTGGCCTTATCCACATCATGACCTTTTTTATCATACTTTTAAAAACTTTTTTATATCAAATTTAAATAAGTTTTATCCTTATTTGTTCTTTATGATAGAAATTTTAATTTTTTTCTCTGTTTGTTTCTTATTTTGCTATTGTATATTCAATACTTAATATTTTAACGTTGTCATGTGCTTTTTATTAGTTTACTTGAATTTAATATCCACTTTTATCACATTTATTTTAATATAATATAAATAATAAATAAAAATT